TAGGTTCTCATCACATTGGGGGTTAATGAGGTATCGGACGATCCCCACATTAAACCTGAAAAAAACGCAAGGAAACAATCAGAACTGAAATGTTCTATCTTCACCCCACCCCAAACCCACCCCACCCCTATGCCCAGACAATCTCTCACAAGAGAACTGACATCCCACCTAAAAAAGTTGTCAATTTCTTAAGAGCCCAGACTGGTTCCTGCACTTTAAGTTGTAGTGGATACCTCTGAATTGCATGCATGTGACTGTACTTTCATTGGTCCAGTATGTAACACTGCAGTTACTTATTTCAAAGGGAATGTTTAATGTACATGGGCTTAAAATGCACCTTTATTTAAATATACCTGAATCATGTTCATTTGCATTAATTCCCAACTTCTGTTTATAACTTTGTCATCTTCAAACTTGTGGAGAGACCTAGTAATCCATGTAATTTATTGAAATGAAGACAACAATGATCCCAACATCCAGCTGTTTTAGGTCCACTCAACACTTGGCCTTTTGCAGATACTGTAAGCTTCTGTTGAAGCTGTTGTCCCACTTACTAGCTGATCTCTGAACCCACATGATGAGGTCTTAACCAGTAACCTTTCATTCACTACTTTAATTTGAAATAAAGCCTTTAGTAAACAACATCTGAAACATTGCCATTACTTACTACTTTAAATGCTTTGAGGAAGTTACCAATCATGTTAGCGAGACCTTTTAGTCAAAGGTTGTTAGAGTTAATGATGAGATGTACCAGTGTGTACATTGTTATATTAGAAAATTTGTTGGCATGGATGTAGAGTATTTTGAAGTGTTTAAGATGTACAGATATGTCTGCTTGTTTATGGGCTGAAAACATTAGTTCTGGAGTAAGACATTAGCAATTAGTGGATTATAAATATCAAATATCTTGACAAAGGTACTGAAATCAAAAATAACAGACCCTTCTGCTGCCCAAATTTGAGAGCACAGAACAGCAACTAAACTTGTAGAGCCCAGGAATTGTCATTCAATACATTTACTTACAGAAGCACTTGCATAAGATGAAACCATTACACAAGTATTAGGACAGATGTCATTTGATAACTTTCAAAGGGATTATTGTCATCGGTTCTGCTTTTCAAAAACAAATATTTTTATGAATTGGAACGAATGAATTCAGTGTGTTCTTAAATTAAGTGATACTTGAATTGAGTTTGGAATGGCAGGATGTGAAACTTCTATCTTAAGCTAGATTCATATCAAAAGCAAAGGTTGTTTGGAGAGATGCAGTAATAATCATATTATCCCACCAGTTTGTATTTTAGTTGGTTGCTGCTAACTGTCAAGCATGGTAACTTCTACTGCGTTCCCCAATTGCAATTAAAATTAATAAAATACATAAAGATAAAATATTAAAGAAAAAAACTGCCAAAAGAATGTTGCAATGTATGAGATCAATTCATCTTTGAATTCTTTGTGACTGATTCTCAAAAGCAAGATTGAGTTTGAAAATTATTTACTATGCTGCTCATACGAGAGGAAGGAGAAGTCATTTTATTCTGCAAGTTCACTTCCACAACATTTTAAAAAGTGAAATGAAAGTGAATAATGTTACACATACCATCATTGTGAGTTCTTAAAAACGTTTCCCAGTTCCCAAGTATTTTGACCAACAAGGAGTACTCAGTCTTGGTCATGAGCCCATCTGTGATAGGGCTGTAGGAACATTGCATATATACAAAAAACTTCAAACAGAATCTGCCAGTAAGGTTGTTGCATATCATTGTTAGACAATATTGTTGTAATTGTTGCTCCACATTTGAGGCACTATTTGTGTAACTTACCAAATCTTTTTGTGTGATATTCAAAGTGATGGCTGGAAAGTAAATGTATGAAAGTTCACACTGTGAACCAAACATCAGCTGCTGAACACTGAATTGTCAGTCAATATTGAACACGTGTCCATACATCGCTAATTAGAAACACTTACAGTACTTTAAGTAGAACCTCTTATTTGGAAGAGTTATTTTAGTGTTTTCTTGTTGCTGTAGGCTTTTTGGTGGGTAGATCAGTTTTCTGTGTGGTCATGCAATGGAATAGGAGATCCATACAATTGTCCTCCTGTTTCAGGGGAAACTTTTGGTGATGATGTTAAAAAGTGGTATTCAGTTCTAATGATTAATTTAAATATTAAAATACAGTAGCATATTTTGGAATTGCTGTGAACAGTCATGGGCTTATTCTTAGCCTAAATGAAGACAGTTATTGTTATTCACGTATGTCAAGTGTCCAGAGCTTATGATGCCTGGATTCCAATTTTTTTAAGGAGTTTCCCATGATTTTTATAAATCTAAATTCACTTAATCGTATTATCAAAAAACTGCTTAACTGTGCCTACAGTGTCATTTATGTTCAATTTCAGGGTATTCGTCAAAGAGTCTTATCAAAAGCAGAAGCATTAAGTGTGAAGCTAAGAGTATAAGTTGATAGCTGGCAAACTTTCACCTTTCTTCAATTTTTCTTGTACTTGCTAAGGCTTTTAGAATTAATCTGTTCAAATAAAACCTGTGAGTTTATTGGAGCTGCAAATACTTCATTTAAAGGAAGTCATTATGCTCAGGAATAAATATAAAAATTAGACCTGTATGAATAAATCCAGAGGGCGGAGATTGCACACTTTTCATGTCACTGATTAGTGTCATCTCTTCATTTTTTTCCTTTTGGTTTGCTTGTCGATTTTTAATTAATTTGCCTTTCAAGGTATTTTCTTTTAAGTCCTTCCCACTTTCTTTATATTTTTCAATTAAAAAAACTGCTGGGTTCTCAGCCAACTACCCAGGACTTTCTGGCAAGCCAAGCTGATATTAACTGGATGGCTTCATTTATAGCCATTTGGCTGGCAGCTGGCTGACTGCACACCTGGTCCACTCTTCCTTCTCATCCAACAACCCCCACAGCCCCACACTACCTTCCCTTGCAACCAGTGAAGGTGTAACACCTGCTCATTTACTTCCTCCCTCCCCAGGATCCAAGCTCCCACACTTACTTTCCAGGTGAAGCAGCACTTTACTGGCACTTCGCACAACCTAGTCTACTGCATTTGTTGCTCACAGTGTGGTCTCCTCTATTTTGGGGAAACAAAGCGTCGACTGGGTGACTGCTTTGCAGAACATCTACGTTCTGCTTACAAAAAGACCCTGAGCTTCCAGTCACCTCCCATTTTAACACACCACCCTGTTCCCTGGACAACATCTCTGTCTCAGAACAAAAACAAAGTTGCTGGAAAAGCTCAGCAGGTCTGGCAGCATCTGTGAAGGAGAAAACAGAGTTAA